GGTGTGGTTTGGGCAGCAGTTGGGAGGACTGTCTATGGAGGCACTGCAGTTGATGGGGGACCCAAATGTTGGGGTTTGAGTTTTGTGTAACACACGTTATCTTTGGTAATTCACAGGAGTACGTGTAGACAAGAGATTTGTGATGGTAAGGGTTTTCTACATGCTTCCCTTTGGGAACAAGAATAAAGCCTGTAGGGTTTGTAGGAGCCTATAGACTCTTGATATCCACATAAGCTGTTTTAAAAGTTGAGATAGCATCATGCTTTCAAATAGTTTTTATTCACTGCTAAATCTGGAGAGTGGCTCTTGTTGTGCTGTAGGTCTGTGTATCAGTAGCTTGCTCAGTGCTGCTGTGGGCATCGAGGGAGAGCAATTGGGAAGAAGCAGATGGATACAGTTACTGCAGTCTTAAAAGATGAGAAATTTAATGGCATTTCAAATTTGTCTTTTTATACGTGCAAGAAGAAGATAAAATCTACCTGGTGATCCCACAGAGAAGTAGTGACTCTTCCCTCGTAAACCATGTCTCAATTCCTTTTCTCTTCTTATTAGTTGAGACTGAAGCCAGCACTTGAGCTGCAGCTCTGTTAAATGTTTTGTGTTTGATCGAGTCAACCTGAATCTCTTTCGTATTCTGGCATCCCACCTGTAGCTGTCTGTGGCTCCCTCTGAAGCTCACCCACCTGAGGAAAGATCCATTAGGTGCAGTAGTTCTGATCGTGTATCAAGCTATCATGTGTCAAAAAAAACTTCACAGACTGATTCAGGAGCCTCCTTGCCCATCGTAACATTCACAAAAGCTTTCTCCTCTTCCTTCAGTAGGAAGATCAGAACTTGACAAAATAGTTGGATGTTGTTGGGTCTGAAACTGTCCTGTGTGCCACCTCTAGAAAGAAGGGAACTGTGACTCTGAACGGGGAGAGACGATGAATGCTCGAGAGAGGTCCTAGTAACAAGACGTTCCCTGTTAGTGTTATGCCATTCTTAGAGGGAAACTTCTCCTTTTGATGGTTAGATAAAATAATTTCTTGAATAACAATGTTTTAAAAATAATTCCCTCCATGAACTATGTACTGGTTTGCATTTGCTTTCATAGCCTTTTGAGTAGATTGTTTTCCAAGTACAGACAATAAGGTAGGAGTTTGTCTAGCATTTGGAGAAGTGTGGCGCCTGTGAAATTGGTCTAATCTTCTTATTTGAAGGAGCTTGCATAACAGTGTAGTAAAGTGTAAGAAGTCTGATTAAGGCTGCCTTAATAATCCCTACATACTCACTGGAGAAAATTGGCTGCTACTTAGGAAGCCAGGGATGGAGGAACTGCGCTTCAGGTAGCTTCTTAGATGTCAACTGTACGAATACTCTAGAGAGTCTTGTTTGTTATAAGACTGGTAAATGTGTACCATTTGTGTGAGTCTTACACTAAACAGGTTTTTTTCTGAAGTGTTGTTAGATGTACAGGTGCTTCAAATAATGAAAAAACAGGCTTTGTTTACTTAAGTCATAAATTATAACTTGTTCTTTTGAAACAATTGCTTAAAATATTTCTCAAGGTTTTGCCTGCTTTATGCCAGTAAAATAGCTGGGCTGACATGATGTTGTTAATTCTGAGTACCGCAAGATTTGATATCTGCTTAATCAAAAGACCCAAGTACATTGTCCAAGTTCGGGACCTGAGTTCAAAGGCCTGCCACGTAAAGTCAATTGCAGATAGTTTGGGCTGCTAATCATATGCAAATAGAGACTGGAGGAGGAAAGGGTAGGTCGATCTGAAATAGTAAGATTGTAGATTCCCTTGGTTATGTGCACACCTTGACCGGTCCAGTAAGTTGTGATAGTGTGCAGTCACTTACGGGTGACGTGGCAAAGTTGGCTTGCAAGTAATTAACCTTTCGAGGGAGGTGACATAGTAACTGTTATTTGCCACAGAACACCTTCCGATGTACAAGTAACAGGAGGCTTGTGAAAAAGGGAAAAAAACCAGCCCCAAAGCCTCGTTGAGCTGCAGTGCCAGAGTAAGTGGGCTGGGGGAATGCGGGAAAGGAAAGGAGAGGGCTAGATGAATTTCAGTGATAGGTGGTTGGTGGTAAGAGTTACATGGAAGACAAGTGAACCAGTTGCATGAATTTATTTTTAGGCATTGCCCTCTTCTACGGGGTGATGTTGGCTCTCACCTCTTTTAGTTAAGCCTGTGCTACATTTGAAATAAACTCCTGAATTATGAAAAACCTGTAAAGACTTCTGAGGAGTTAAAGTAAAATATACAGGTACCGTTCTCAAATCTCACACCTCTTTGCTCTTCTGGGGAGTGGGGTGTGCTGATGCAAACCTTCCTTTAGACTGTGTAAATGGGAGCTCTATAGGAAGCAGAACCAGTGAACACATTTCCAGTTGTTTTGCCCTGAGGTTGTGCTCACCTACGCTCTGTTAAGATTTGAGTCTCTGCATCAGCCTTTCTCTCTGTTGGGGATGTACTTTTCTTTTACTCACATTTGCCTATTTTCGCAAAAACAAAAGGCACGCAAGATATCTGTCCTGCTTGCACTTACAGCTTGGTTGCGTAAGTCTCATTTCCTTGGGCAGCAAAACTAAAAATTCACAGGCAGGTAGATTAAAAAAAAAAATTAATCAAGCCTTTAGGACGAATACAGCAGCAATAGTCTGATAGTACGTTACAGCAGGTGTATTCTCCAAGGAAGGAGCATTGATTCCTTCTCCAGTGAAATCTGACATTTAATTTGGAAGTCTGCCTGATGGTGACTGATACCAGATCTTTCACAGGAGAACAGAGAATCCCTCTGATGAGCAGCTGATACTTAGTGAAAGCCTTATGCCCTGAAGCATGATGGTTTCTATGTTTTGGAAAGTTGTATACCTTTGTATGTGCTGTTGGTTAACTATAGATGATGTTATCCCTAGTGATGAATATAGATAGATATTGTAATCTTAAACTGTTAGTGCCATGGTGAGTTGAATAATTTCATAGGCTAGATACATTTAAGAAAATGGCTTTGGTTTCTAAGTTTGGTGTCTTTCCCTTTTCCTGATTGTCTTCTGGCTGTTTCTGAAAGGTGGAGGAGACTGTTTAGTGCATTGCCTCTGCGGTGCTTGTCACGTGGGATGTTTTGAGTTATACTTCATCAGCATTACCAACCATTGACCATAAAACTGTCCTCTTCTGAGCAACTGTACTTAAAAGTTGATGGTGTTAAAGTTAGTGTTTCTGAGTTGGTGATTTTCTTTTTTGTTTTCATTTCACTTTTATGTTAAAAGTTTAAGCAGCTTTCTGCACTGTTTCTTCCATGGCTGCTAGCACAACGCATTGAAGATTGAAGTGAAGCTTCAGGTTGACATGTAATAATCTTGATTATTGTTGAAATTCTTTTTGATGCGTGCTGAAATGAAGTTAGTGAGCTTAGTTTGATTTCACAATTCAGATGACTACTGGAGAAGAACTATGAGAGGGGTAGTGAAAAAAAATTAACATCTAATTCTTCTTTAATCTCCATTTTAAAAGTTCAAAATAACATTTCTCAAGTGGTGTGTAATCCTCTGTAGTTTTAGTTTGCCATTCTAAGGAAACAAGTTGTGTACAATTATGCTGTCAGTTCCTCTGACAATCGTTAGTTGCTTTAACATGCTGGCACATTGCAGCCACCTTTGACAAAGGGACAGTTCCTGCAAATTATGTGGAAATGATTCCTGTGGAGCAGAAATGAGACTCTTAGTGCTGCTCATGGTAAGAACTCAACCCTTATAAGACATTAGAGCAGCTCTACAGGCAAGAGAGTTTATGAATGCCTGAGCTAGAAGAGGCTTTGCTCTCTTACCTTCTCAGACAGGGAAGACATTTGATGGTGAGACACGTGTTTCAAAGAACCTTTGAGCATTGTAATGAATTGTTTGATAGAGGGCTGTTTAAAGCAGTCATTCCCTCTATCAAAAGTTTGAGTTCACAGTGTGATTTTTTTTTTAATTATTTTTTTCCCCTAATGCTTCATTTATGCAGTTTGCCTGAAGCAGAGTAAAATGCCTTTTTGCCTTTTTTTTTTCTTGTTATGTTTGTGATAGTCACCCAAAGTCTGCTGATTTAGAGCTGCTTTTTTAAAGGAAGCTAGGATAACTTAAAAACAGTGATTGGGCTGTCAGAAATATTTTGCGTATCGTTTCATAGTGTCTTTGAATGCATCTAGGAATTGGTATATTGGGTAAAAAAATGAGTTGTTTGTTTTCCTTTAGGCAAAATACTCTCTAGATTATGTTTACCCACTGCACAGGAGACTTTACATTGTAAATATGTATATACATACTGGTCATTAGTTCGTTTTCTGAAATGTTTATTATGGTTATCTTTCAGAGATTATGTGAGCTGGATACTCATGGTATGTCTGAAGGACAGATCTCTTGTGTGTTCTGAATATACCAGGTAAATGCCAATAATAACTTTTCATGGGAGATTGTGACCTGTCAAAGAGTAACAAGTCAAGAGAGGGCAACTTTTATTCTGTGTTTAGTCCTAGTTGATTCTATAAAAAGAGCCTGACAGGCTGTAGCCTAAAATTTATTTCTGTATTTGTGTATTATACTAGAAAATCAGACAACACTAGTGCAACTATTTGCAATGCTAGTGAGGATGCAGCATGTCAGTGGGAGTTAGCCAGTTTCCATAAATACCTTGAAAAACTTTACTCAGCATTTCTGATGTGTGAGGTAAAGCAGAAGGATGGAAAATAGTGATAAATTTCAGGTAGATAATTGTCCTGTCAAATCCCCTGCCTCACCTTTTTGTCTGAGAGTCAAAAAATGGACATAGCTGTGAGAACAGTTGTGTCTTTGAACAGCAGTGGTGTTACAAGAGGTACTGTTCAGTAGCAGTGGCGAATAAGCTCTTACCCTGAATTATTTCTGGCAAGTGTATTGGATTGTAAGTAACTAATATCACATCCATTACCCTAATTGAAGATTTCATTTTCAGGTTGTCCTCATGAGTACTCCAGTGGAGAATGTCCATGATCTTCTTTGCCTGTGTGGTGCGGGTGAGGGACGGACTTCCCCTCTCAGCCTCCACAGATTTTCATTTCAACCAGGGCTTTCTGGAATGCAGAAAGAGATTAAAGGCATTATCCTCAATTCTGGCACAGTACCCAAGTCGAGGCACGGCAAAAGGACGTGACCTTAGCATACAGTAAGTCCCTGCTTTTGTTTGTTTAGTTTTTTGACTTTAATTTTTGAAATGGTTGTCCTGGGGATTAGTTGAACTTTAGGTATATTCTATAGTGCCTAACTCCAATCTGAAATTCCACCATGCATGTCTAGATTGTAACCTCCAAGCAGTATTTTGATACCTTATTTCTCAGCACCACAGCCACACAGCTCCTACTCAGTTTAGTAAGCATATGTTAAGAATTGCTTATTTCAGTTCTCATTTTTTGTAGCAAATACTTTCTGCTCGCTGGGCAGTACTTGTTACTATTAGCAATCGGAGTATCTTGGACTTGTACAAATACCTTCTAGTGCCTGGGAATTACTTAGTTTAGTCTAAAGCCCAAACCTTTTTCTTCAGTGACTACAGTCTTGATTCTGGTTTGCACAGCGCTGCCCTGACTCCCTCCTACGTACTGCCACTCCATTTTCTGAGTGCCTGCAGGGTTCAAGCCTCTAAAGCTCTGGCTGATGGGTGTGTCTTGTGGAGACCTGGAGCACACTGACAATAGCCAGCATGGAGAAATTATAAATCTTCACTTTTATTTATTGGAGAAGGATCTGCTTGTCTTTATTTTTGGGAAATTAAGGTTTCATTCAGAGCTGAGAATTTTCATTTACTATTGATTTTAGTTTAGCTCTGAAATTGAGTTTTAGCTTGTGGTCGCATTTCTGCTTGGCAAATGGTAAGAAAAATTTCAAGTGACCCTGAGCTAAAACTAAGTATCCTTTTCTGGGGTAGTGATGGGAGAAAGAAGACACGTGAACTTACACTGAATCAATTGGAAAAGCAGAGATTAGCATTTTAATTCCTTTTCCCTCAAAGCGATCTTGTGCCCTTTAATGCTAACATGTTCTACTGCTTTTAATCTTCTGTAGTCTCTATAAAAGTAACTATACATCTGGCCCTGAAATGAGAAGAGTGCAAACTGATACGTGGCGAAAAGGCTATAAATGACTGACAGCTTGAAAAAGGTAGTTTTACACAGGCATGGTGTTGATCCTCAGCTGTGAGCTGGGGACAAAAGGAATTTAGGGAACCTACCCAGTGTAACTAGGCTGTCCCAGAGCTAATCAAAACCATAAATCCCAAGTACATAGAATAATGAATAAATACAAATGTGAGAAAATAGAAACCACAAGTATTTCTCTGAGAGAGGGGTGAATTACATAAATAGTAGAAAAGAGAGAAAATAGAGAGTAATTGTTCAGCTTCAAAGCTTTGTTTCTATACTGAATTATTGCTATCAAATGGCTAAACTGTAAAGGAAGATTTCCTCAGTCTTCTTTCAGAGATAGTTACAAATCTGTAATTATGGTGGGGATTGAGAAGTTTAGCTATCTACATTATGAGTTCTGACATCTGAACTAGGTGCCCTGAACTCCCGTCTTACTTAACGAAGCCTTGACGAGAGTGATTTCTCTCATCCTTAAGTACAGGCCTACATTTTGGTCAGATGAATCCCCTGTTAAGTTTCCTAGAAGGTTTTGGGCCATCTGTAAGTGGAAACTCGTGCATAAATACAGCTTCAGTGTTAGAAGGACCCCTTTTGGAGTAGAGTCTTTATTGTGCTGCTTCTGATACAAACTCATCTTTATTTCTTACAAATGACTTAACAGTAACTGTGTTTGAATATCTTGGTTTGTGCAAGTTAACAAATATCTCTTGCCGTTAGTATGAAGTTGTCATATTCAAGGGGAGCAAGGAATACATCTGCTTGCTTCCTGTGAACAAGCTTGCTTGTTTTTACTTTTGTTTCTGGAAAGCCACTGTGTTTTCTTTCAAAACCTTCTTGCCTGTGATGGTTTCTGGCCATCTCTTTTCTTGCTAACATGATTTAAAGTCAGCTTGGGAAAATAATGTCCTCAATTTTTACTGATGTAGCAATTTAATAAAATCTGTATTGTGATCTTTAGCATGCTAAAGCATACTGAACGAGTTGAGAATAAGTGTTACATCTACAGGGGCTGTTGGACTACAGCAGTGCAAATATACTTTTTGCAGTCTGCTTTTTCAACGCAGTCTGTACATCTTGTTTTGACAGAAAGCACAGTTTAATTCTCATGTTCAGCATGACTCTTTTACCTTTTTATGTTGATGTTACTTTTTTTTTTCTATTTCAGTTTCCTTTCTTCTGGGGATATTGCCTGCATGGCAATCTGTTCCAGCAATTACTCAACCATCATGGCGTTTTGCTTCCTGGAAGAGCTTCAGTGGGAATTTGCTGCTTCCTACGATACAACAAGCATCAGTTTAGCTTCCAGACCATATGCTTTTCTTGAATTTGGTTTGTAACTTTATTTTCTAATCGGAAGAATTCTGTGTCTGCTACTTTTATGATGTTAAACAATGTCTCCTCGCCAAAGCCTGATCATAAAAATGAATCTTCTGTGTGTGTGCCTTTGCATGCATGTGTAGGAGGAGGAGGAGGAGATCTTATAACTGCCTTAAACTATTAGATTGTTGGTTTTGCGGTTCCTGAGAGCCCCTGTAATAGATGAATAAAATGCTGTGGTGATTAATAAACAAGCACAGAAGAAAAAGAAATCCACATCTGAAACACTTTCTAACTTAATTAGAAAAATCTGACAAGTGGAGACAGATGGGTACAGGAAGAGAGAGAGACAGAATAGATTATTATGGGCAGCTTTACTTCTGGCATGACTTAGATTCACATAATACTTCATAATCATGCCTAGTGTTTCTTTTTTAACCTGTTATAAATGTGTTTTGGGTTTTTTGCCATGTAGCAGCTGCTCTACTGAACCTTGCACCTTTGAAAAACATGGTTCCCAATTCGCTTGCAGTGAGAAACTCTCTTTTTTGGGAAAAGATAAGATATTACAGTGGGTTAGCATGCTTCTATCCTAATTTTGGTAATAGTGTTAAGCTCATGCTTAAAAGATTGAGAAATCCACAGGGAACGTATATTATACAGCCATCTTGTATTTTGGGTGGATTCCCTGCAGGGCACATTCCAGGCATGATGTAATTTTATACTGAGATCCAAATTACTCCTTTTTTTAACTTGAGTAGCAACTGGGGAATTTCTAGCCTCTTTTAATTGCATGAGGCTCTTTTTAAAGAAAAAATGCAATTTTTTTTTCATTTATACTATTATACTGTATTTTATTACTGAGTCTACCTAATGTTGCTGTGTAATTTTTATTTATTAGTTTTGTCTTCTTTCCTGTGTTTGGATCTAAGATGCACTTGATTCCCTATGATCTTAGCCTTTTGCCTGGTAGTTACAGATCATTATAGCAGGCTGACTTAAGGTAAAATACAGGATTTTTCACTAAGGAATACGTATGGCACTGTGTATTCTAGCACAACATAAAAGTCCTGCAGTGTGGTCTCAAAACTCATGGTTAAGCTATTACATATGTATCATATCCAGTAGTAGCTGTGGTCAACCTGTGCAAGTCTTCTAGTGTAAAACTATCTTAAGGATATGGATTTCACATATAGGTCTTAGCAAAATAAATGTTTCTGCATTTTATTTCCCTAAGCATTTGAAATAGCTTGGATTTGCCAATATCTACTCAAATAAATAGAAAGTAGCAGTATGCACAGTGAGGTACTTCAGCTCTGGACTTGTGAACAATCCGTACTCAGACAAATTCTCCACTTAGTCTTAGTGCAACTCCTGTCAAACCAGCAGCCACACCTGTGGAAAGGGATTTGCTTGCGAATGGTATTAAATTTAAAGCGTGAGAGATGAAGCAGGGTGATCTGTACGTAGATCCATGGCTTGGACATTGATGGAATCACTGTGGAAGTGCCTCTGCCAGTCTGAGTTCTTCATGACTCAGATATAAGTTGAATTGATTTATGTCTGTGCTGGGAAAAAAACTAATCCTTGACACTGTTAAAACACAGTGGGGAATTGCTTGTTGTGGTAGTTCATGAGTAGTTTAAGATATGTGTTAACATCTACCCTGGACTATGAAAGCTTGTTTTCAGTCCACTGGCAGGCAGGATGTTGAGTTTTAAAGTATCCAGAAGGGAGTGAGTGCGATATAAAATACCTAGGAGAGGTATTTTTGTTCCCTAACCAGCAGTGGAATGATTTGATGAATAACTACCTAAATCACTTAACTTTTGCAGAGCTAATTGAAGCATGCTTTATATTGTTTCAGATAACATTATTCAGAAAGTGAAATACCATTTTAACTGCATGAGTGGCTCTCAAATGAAGGCCAACTGGGAGAAGATTGAGGAGGAGCTGAAGTTCCAGCCCCCGGTTCAGCTGAAACTAGAGGATACAGAGCTGATGAATGGGATGACTAATGGTGGGCATGCGGGTGTTCATGTGGAGGTTGGTAAGTTACTACTACGCACAGGTGACAGTAGATTTCCTGAACCTAACTTTGCAAATGACAGAAAAGCATGTAACAGTAGCGGTTCCATTGGTACTGAGAAATATTTATGTTATGTGTATGAAACCCTAGAAAAAAAAGACTGCCTTTCTATGATAGTAAACAACATATGGCCTTTAGATTATAGCAGGTATGCATCAGAGCCTATAAGGACTTGTGGTAGTGTCTTTTTTTTTTTTTTCCCAGCTTTATATCAGCTTCTCTATATGGGCAATTGGTTGTAACTGGACCTAGCTATTTCCATGTTAAATTCTACCACTTTAAAGTAGTTGTTTGTTAAATTTTCTGTGACAAAAGAAGCTCCACTAATTCATTGCTTGTTGCAAACTCTATTTGAAGATACATAATTACAGTCTGAATGAGTTGCTTCAGCCTTAATGAAAGAAAAGAAGAATATGAGCTCAGGGTAAAACTCTCATTCCCAGACTGTCTGTCTTGGGTGTTCTCCCCTCTTTGTTTTCTCCTTTTACCTTATTCTTTAAAATATAATGCATTGAACTAAAATTCTGAAAGAGGGTATGTATATCTGTATAAACAGCGCATAGAGGCTTGACAAGGGACCTTTTTCTAACAAATACTGACATTTTACCTCCTTTTAGAAGTACTAACCTCTACTTATTTATTTTAAAATTCGTATGTTCTTATTCGTGTTTCAGTTGCACAAAGTCCTCCCTGCTTTCTCTATGAAATGAAATGCTTTTAATCCCATTAGCATGGTGGTTTAAATGCAGCTGGAGTGCCATGAGCTTGTACTTCCTCTTTTTTTTCTTGGTTTTTTTTTGTTGTTGTTGTTCTTGACTGATGAAACACTAATAAAATTAAGTTCCAGTTGCTCAGTCTTGTTTTTTCTGATGGATGAGCTTGAATCTGATTTGACATAGGTATTTGAAGTTAAAATATAGAGGGGCAGTGGCCAGGAGGAAGAAAAAATAGAATTGAAAACGTTTTATTTGCCAGTCAGATTTGTGAGTGCTCCTCAGAACTGTGCTTGAAGGTTAAATATTTTCATGATGTGACAGGGCTTAGAAATTCTTTGCACTAGTGTGAACAGTTTCAGCGCCAGTAAACATTTGCAAGCTAGTCTGTGTCCACAGATCAAAAATACATTTTCAGTTCTCTCATTTTCTTAATTGCTTTCTTTTACTTTCCATCTGGCTCTGTGTTTCTGGCTGTTCTCTCTGGTCTAACCCAAATACTCTTACAGATTGTTCTGCCTTTATTTTAAGGATCATGTTTATGATCATCTGTTTCCTTCAGCTGGAGTCAGCTTTTCTGGCTTCTGTCTCCTCTCATCATTACCTACAGCTGAATCCCACTTTGCTGCTCTAAATTTAGCTGTGTGGATAGTATTTGTTCCCATATTAATGTTACTGATATTATGGCCCTGCTATAGAGAAGACTTCTTGAGCATACCTTGAAGTGTTATGGTTGCAGGAGAGCAGAATTTAATTGTGTCTGCATTCTATAGTGAAGAGAGCTCAATCACTGGATTTATCAAAGCATTGATCTCCTTACATGGTTGTAGCTGGTTACTGTCTTCTTTTGAGCTGTGTGATCACATCTCCTGGCTCTTCATTTTAGCATTTTAGTGTGAAATGTTTGAAAAGTCAGGGCGGTTTTGTCCTTGTTAGTATATATGGGAACAAGAGCCTTTTTTTTCTTTTTTTTTTTTTCATTCTTCTGTTTTGTTTCTTCCTTTGTTAACTAAACCCAGCCCAATTCTTGCTAGAAAGACACTAGCATTGTATCCTTGATGAACATCTACACAACCTCAACTTTTGTTGCAAAAGCCTCACCTTGTGTCTTGATACGGGCACAGCTGATAAAGCTCCAGAGGACAGCGGGGTGTGTATATGGAAGAAATGTGAGGTGTAAGTAGCTTTCTGTGAAGAGAGAGTTTTCGCATCAGAACTGGCTCTATGAAGTAGGAGAACAACTTGTGCTATTCGTCTAGTAAGCATGCTGTTAAATTATGCAGCATTGTGCTCCCCTTGATGAATGTTCTTAGTCTTTTGTAGGCACACAGGGAGTCCTTCACAGAGTCCTTTTAAAGGTGTTTTTTGAAGATATCTCACATCTGTCTTTTGTGAGCTTGTATTTTATTTTAAAATATTTGAGTCTGATTTCATTTTTCACTCCTGGTGCTGTCTTTATCTGGAGCTTTGAGTATGTGACTCATTGTCAAACCCTTGTTGTGCTATGCCTTGAAGAGACAGAACGGAGCGTGGTACAGACATCAATGTCAGTCTCCAGTTAAATAGCCAGAGGCCTCTGCTCAGAAAATCTTTTATAGGCAGAAGTTTCAATTTCTTCATTGTGTGAGGGTGTTTTCACAGAATTGTTCTGTACATGTTCAAACCTGCAGATGTATTTTTTCCTGGGTGCTAGATAATCTGCCGTCCCCAGAACATCTGCTGTATGGTTCTCGTAGTCTGAAGTGCGCAACTTTTCTGCTTGAAGAATCAAATCAATTTGAATCCCCGTTAGCATTTGTGTTTGTGCAAAAATGTTCTGTCTTGGACTAAGAGTGCTTGTACTCTCTTGTTCCCTTATTTAATGTAATAAGAAATTCTAGTATGAAATTCTGTTTATAAAAATATGATTGAATTCACACAAGGAAGTGTAATAATTTTTCCCTAGCAGTAGCCATCTCACTTGTTCTGTGCAATTTCAGTTTGTGAATTAAACCTCAGAATGAGATAGCAGAAATAAAGCTCCGCAGCAAACAATTTAAAGATTGGTTTTCAGAGACTCTGAACCCTGAGCAACTGGATATTGTCATCTCCCCTACATCTGTGACAGCAATTCTTTTTATTTAAAAAGAGTAATTTAAAAAATGTAATTTTTACATAATAATCCATGCTGTAGTCTTCAGCCTGCAGAAGCAGGGTATTGAGACTTGTCTTGTTCTTTCCTGGGGGTTGGAAACTCGACATGTATAGTTTGCAAGATCCTGTACAATGAATGACACTTGTGCTTGATAATTTTTCTTTGAGAGATACTGTCTGCCTCTGAAGTAAACCTTAGAAACTGAGGAAGAAGAAACAGTAGTCTTTATTAGGAAATTTCTGTGAAAGAGAGATACGTAGCTGCAACTATTTAATTTATCAAAAATAATAGGAGAGTGAATACTCAGGTCACTGAATGGACAAACAGGCTGGTACAACTTGTGTTCAGTGCACTGTTTGGACTTTGAATTTCACTGCCTAGCAAAAAAAGCAAAATTGCCTTTGAATGATAGGGTTACTTGCACCATTTATTTACATGAGCATGTGCATGACAGTAATGTACAGTAATACTACATAATGTGACATATATCAAGTGGAATTAATACAGTTTCTTTTGCAGCTGCTTTGGAGATGAAATTATGGAGGTATGAGTGCATGCCAGACAAATTAATTACATAGACACTTATAAAAGATACTTTATACCCCTATATTAATTTGGCACCAAACTTTTTTACATCCGTCTATCAAAATCTCTCTTGAAGGTGCAGACACAAGTGTTTTCCTATCTTAAACCATGCAGTACTACAATATTTAAGCTGTTGCAGTGTTTTGTCTGTCACTGATACGAAGCCAGAGATGATCTCTGCTCTATTGATTAGTTTATCTACAGTAGTCAGGAGCTGGCTACATCTGGACAGGAGGCAGAAGATCCTGAGAGCTGAGGAGACTTCTTGAGGGCTTATTCATTCTCTCCTGTGTCTAATGTGTGCTGGTGCGGGAGAAGATCTGGGTTTTGGTATCTGAGGTGCAAATTACCCTTCTTGTTGTGCTGACAGTGTTCTGCTTGTGGTGATACAAGGGCAGGGAGGGTATGGCAAGAAATGTAGGCGAGTATCTAGGTGTGGTGTCTGTTGTTGAGCTGGCTAGTACAGCTAGGGAAATAGTAGATGAGCTTTTGGACAGCCAAACCCCTGAATTTGAAGTAGTGGATTCCAAAGTTAAATACACAGATAATAATTGCTCTGGCCTTAATTAGGTATGTATCAGTTAGAGCATCCTGAAGAAATGGTATTTGGGTGTGTAGGTGTTAGAAGGTGGGAAAGGAGAGAGACAGGTAATTCACTACCTGTGAAACGTGGGCACGTTGGGAGAAAGGTCACTGTAATGCACTGTAAAATGGGATTCAAAGGCCAAAAATGATAGCATCCTGTTTAATTCCTAAGCCCTAGTTTTGACGATATTTTGTCAGTCTGAAGTGCCCAGAGGTAAGAGCAGCAGTTCTGTGACAGACGTTTCTCCTCTCCGACTGGGTGGTATCGTTTTGACAACTCTACTACTGTTCTAGCAGCAGCAGATCGAAGTCCTTGGCTCCTGCAGTTGTGTTCTGGCAACTGCTTGATTAGGGCACCAAAGGCTGTATGGAAACTATGCAGGTGAAACTAAATTGCTGTAGAGCAGACTGAACCCTCAAACTGTCAGTGGAAAGAAATAAGTAATTACCAGGAGGAGGTGAATTGCTCTCTTGCTTTTATGGGTGTCAGAAATTTAAGCTCTTTCTGATACCTTTGGGTGCCTAAAACCCCTAGCTTTTCTACTGACCTACGAAGAGTGTTAAGTATGCTAATCTGCTGAAATAAACAGTCGAAAAATATCTACGTGCACCGTAAAAGAGGACATTAATGCCAAATAACGGAAGAACAAATTCTATTGCATAATCTGTTTAAAAAATACTCCAGAGCTCTTGCTGATTTCTAGATGTCTGAAGAACTGAACAGTGTAATGCAACAAAAAAAAGGTGTTTCTATTCATAATTGGTCTTCTCTGGAGCAAGCATGAAAGGGTTTGAAAATGTTTAAAACCTGCATAAGCTGATTTGAGTCATTCGAAGTTAAAAGATGCAAAGGAATAGAAGGAATAGTGCTAATTTTCACTAATGTCTTTTTTTTTTTTTTTTTTAAGTCCCCACTTACAGAATGCAGCGTGTGACTCCCCTGGGGATTCTGTCGCTTGTTCTGAACATCATGTGTGGAGCTTTGAATCTCATTCGAGGAGTTCACCTAGCAGAGTATTCATTTCAGGTAACTCTGATTGAATTGAAACCTGTAAATGGGTTAAAGGGAGAGAGTTATTTGGGTAACCAGATTAAGGGTGGCTGTTCTGCTTCTTAGTAGAGCATACATCTTTCTCCAAGAAGTGCTTTGTTTATCCAGGGAATGTACAATTGGTTGCTCATCTGCTAGACCTCATGTGTTTTGTTATGTATCACAGCACATTGCATTTTATTCTTTTTTTAGGCAGATTAAGCTTTGGAGAAGTATTTTAGTCTTGCAGGCTGGCTGGATTCCCCCCTGCCCCAATTTTTGTATGTTGTTCTAGATGCTTTTGTGTAAATTTTTTAAACAACTGTGAAACTGCAAACAGCTTTTAAAGAGGGGGAAAAAAAAAAGTGTCCTGATTGCATGGTGGCACAGTTTTATTTAGCAGGAATTGTCACATAAGCCTCAGTTCTCGGTATCTTGTTCAATGATACTGATCTTGCTGTTTAACACTGTTACAGTCAATCAGCATAAACTAGGATGAGAGGTACTTGATGAAATAGAATGTTCCAAAATATCAAGCAGTACTTGCTAAAAACTGTAGCTGACATAGTTGTTTGTCACTTTTAATCCAAACAGGAGGACCATGAAGGAATTGGAAATGTGATAGCTTTTTTCCTACCTTTTCTAGCCTGTGTTTTTCAGGTATGTTAACTGTAAATAAAATGCTTTCTGATTATTTGATCTTGTATATTATAGTATAAAAATAATTTTCAGCTAAGCAGAGGAACAGTTTGGTTTTTAGTATCCTACCTAGGTGATTCCACTGAGCCATTCCAGTGAAGTGGCACAAATACAGTTCAAGGCACAATTTGACCCTTGGCAGACTGCAGTTGCAAGCTTTTTCAGCGCTTTCATGTTTTGACATGCCAAATGGGGCTGAGTGTGATAAATAAGTGCTAGCCCAAAGATGGCTTGTTTCCCAAAGGGATAGACACGATGTCTTTCTGACAGTGGCAGACTTAGTGATGGACTTTTGTAGCATAGCCGCCTTGAAAGACTAAGCAAATATAGGATAGCAACATTATTGAAAACGTTCTAATTTACATTAAAAATTACTTTTAATTCTTGAGACAAATTTGGTTGTTGACTTCCTTAGGGTTTTTTTTTTTTTCCCCCCTCATAGATTATTTTCTCTGACCTCCTTATACAGAAGAGTTTGAATGAGGAAAATATTATATGCTCCAAATGGGTTCTTCCTGCAAGGTTCCTTAAATGCCTAAAACAGTAGTCCACAACCTTTAACTTGAGGACAGTATGTAGTTTGCAAATTCTTCAATTGTTAGCCCATTATCGCAGGAAGCTGCTGTAGTTGGGTTACTAGTTGACAGAAGGAATAACATAATGCCGACAGTATATTCATTGCTTAGTACTGCTGCGTTTGGCTAATGGTTTGGGGACCACTATTTAAAACTTGCAGAGAGGCTATTTATTGTATTATAATAGATACAATTTAGTGTCTTTCAGCCTTCTTACACCTCTGCTCACAGCAGAGCTTTACAATGGAGATATTAATTTGGATCTAAATATTTCAAGCCTGTCTTCACAAAGAAAGGCTCTATCCTACTTTTTTCCAGTTAGTACCTGAAGCTAGAGAAGCTAAATAAAGAAGAGCTCTCTCTTATCCTTTTGATCTATAGCAGTCATCTTCACAAAATACTTGTGCATAAATTGAGCTCAAATGTGAAGTGCTTTCTAAAGGCTGATCTCTTCTTGTGTCATCAGCACAGTTGGAAACTGTGACCTTAAGTGAGAAAGCATGATCTGTTACTGCCTGAGTTGAAAAAGTAACTCTTCTGCCAGCACTTTGTGAGTTTTTAGTTTTCTCCTGTAAGGGTTGTTGCTCTTCACACATGCTTAGAAAATGGGTTCCACCTGTTCTTGAATTTAAAAAGAAAAAGAGCCCCAAACCCCAGCGAAACCTATTAGCAGAAATTATGGTCTTTCTGCCAAGTCAGGTCTAGAGAGTGAAGTCCTTTACTTGTTCCGAGAACAAATATGGCAGAAGCAGATTTGGGTTTGCTCTTTTCCTGTTTCTGAGCCTTTGTCTGGCAAAAATCAGAGGTGGTTTTTGAAAGCTGGCTCAGCTTTTGGACTCCTTTTAATCCAGGCTGAGGCGGGAGGGGGGGACACCAGTTGTGCTGAGAGACTTCTTTTGAAATCTGTGGTTGCCTGGCAGTGTCTAGGTTGAGGCCACGACTCTGGCTTTTCTTGGAGGGCCTCTCAACATAGGAGTTGAAGGGAAACTTTGAGCTTCTTCATGATCACTGCAATGGCAGGCACATCCACGCGGATGTGCCAGCAATTCCCAGCTATGTCTCTTGTCTACACGTACATAGTTTAATGCTAACACTGTCTCTCTGGTCCTTTTGTAGTGTTACTTGTACCTCTTCTACAGTTCGGCAAGGAAGGTGAAGACGTTTGTACTCTTTTTCTCTGTTTGTTTATGCAACATTTACTTGTACGGATTACGGAACCTCTGGCAAATAGCCTTTCATATAGGAGTGGCATCTCTTTCTTCTTATCAGATACTGACAAGGCAACTTATGGAGAAACAGCCTGACTGCGGAGTATGAAAAAGACTTTGGGTTTGCTACTCTATTTTTATCACTTTTTTTGTATTAAACTGGCCAAAAATAGCTTGGAGTATTTTTAAAGATTTGTGACAATGGTTATTGCAAGGCAGATATTTCAAAGCAACTTGAAATAAAGTAGGATACTGTAATTGTGTCAAACATACAGTAAGGAACGTAGCTGTATTTAACATGGCATGTGGTGATTGTGCATGGTAGATTTTGTCAGGTGTCATCAACAGATGGAGGTTCTCCTTACCGTAAACAGGCTTTTACTCCTTGACTAATACCATCTAGATAGCATTTTGCCATTTGTCTTACTGGCTTTGTAACAGTTTGGCAGGTCAGTGTCTTGCCCTGCCAATGCTTCTGAAAATATTAAAATGGTGTAGTAAAATGAAGATAAAGTGGTGGGTAACGTTTTTGTCTATAGAATTTGTTAAGCATTAAGATGCTTGGTAAATGTCAGTAAAGGAGTTGTTTGCCATAATTAGATGAGTTCAATATCAGTGGGAAAAAATTGTTAGGATGAGCTTCAGGGTAATTCTTCTAGGTTTTGAAGGAAAGGGAAAGGCTGTGGCTCTTAAAAACCATAAAGGCTATAAATATCTCCTGGCTAAACAGCGCATCGTAGTTAAGTATGTGCTCATTGGTTAATTGCAAATATGCTTGGGGCAGCATAAAATAAACCAAGTGATCTTTCAGCTCAAGTGGCCTTTATTTCCTTGGTTAAGGTCACTCTTAGTATAAGGGTAATTCCACGTTTGCTTGGTCTGTACTGATAATAAATTTTCCAAGCCTGCTTATGACAGGCCACTGACTCCTTCACCTTTTTTTAAAATGTGTCGCTGGTGAGTAGAAAGCCATTTCCAGTAATGGAAAGCAAGAGCAGGTTCTCTTTATTATATGAAACACCTTTAGTTAATGGTGTTGAGTTCTTACACTAAGATGAATTTATGAGTGTGCACTTTTGAATATAGTACTTAAGAGCTGAAATTCTTAACCTCTGCTGCACTGGGTATTCTTGTATGTAATGTATCGAGGTGCGTATGGGCATTTTAGAACATATATGAATAACTTAGGCTGTTTAAAAAAATGCATAGCATTTTGATGCAGCTGTCCTTGAACAATTGTGGAGACTCAAACTAGGAAGATGTAGAGAACTGTAGGTGTGTTATTGTGGAAGTGTGGTCCTAGATTTTCCTTATTTTTTTTTCTGAAGAAACTCTTTCCTGGTCGCCCCATTTCTTCCACCAAATGTCTCTCACCAAAGATTTATTTTCCTCTTGTGTAGTCTTTGCCTCTGGTGGTTGCAAAGAGATTAACATGATGCAGAGTTACCTTCCTGAGTTTGCAGAAACGCTTAACAAAATTACTTCCTTGCAACTCAGTGAATTTTCCTGAAATCTCGTGATGTAAAGGCTTAAGAGTATCAGTAGGCTACCAGACCAGAAACCTGTGTGCCTTGGAATCACTTCTGTGGTGCAGCTGACTGCAGCAACGGCATCGATAAGCAGCTCATTACAACCTGAAGTTTCTGGGATGTCAAGAGACTTGTGCTACAGCTTTTTGCAGAAGTAAAATGTAGGTATTTCTTTTTCATCCCATATTAGCCCATTTACTGTAACAAGCTTTAAGCTGTGAGGAATAGTTTAGTAGGAATGATGGAGGAATATTTCTGCCAGCCAGTTAAGAAAACAGCTAGACCTCTGTGCCATAAGGGAATACCCTGCTGTTATAAGGGAGTGGATTAAAATTGTTTGTCTGTCATTACCCCAGTTTTCTGCCAGACTATAAGTGCAGAAATGAAGCCAGCATTCAACTGTTGTCCTTAAGACACCCGGACGACCCCACGTGTGGGGGTTTTAGTATTGACAAGCTTTAAGTGTCCATGCTGTTCAGTTCCAGTTGTACTTGGTGATATGACCCAACTTCCAGCCCCTACCTGCCCTTTTAGCCTCCACCAGGCTAAAGAGTCCAAAAGAGCTTTCCTGTTTCTCCACAGGCTTAGATCTTTATCTGCCTGCTGTAGCTTAAGGCACGCAGAGCATTTACATCTGGGGCATGGGGCCAGTGAACCGTTATCTGCTTTCTGTTCCTCATCCTTGTATTGAGCTGATTGGACTAACCTCTAACGTTCCTTATGCTTCCCGAGCATCTGACTGTTTGCTTTATGGTAAACCAAATACATCCCTGTGCCAGGTGATCTTAGCAACAGCTCTGCAATAAGAGTGGTAGGACGAGGTGTTTAGATAGCTTGCGTAATTAACATAACTACAGTGGATAAAGATTAAATTCAGCTTTTGTTTAATATTTTCTTTTTCCTGAATTTTTTTTTTTTTTTTTTGCTTTGTGGATTAGATGGAGGATGCAGCTAGCTCTTTTCTACGAAATGAGCAAAGCTCTGGTTTGCTGTTAGTCTTAATCCCTTTGCAACCTTTTTTTTCCCCCCCCGTAACATGTGTAAACCATATTAAAGAATCTATATGGATTAATGTATGTGTGTTAGTATCTGCACACTTTGTACGTTTGGATTATGATTCAGGGATGAGGCAGAGCACATGTAGTTTCACCTATTTTTATTTTTAATGTTAATATTTAGAATGGCTCCTACATCTGTATGGTAGTTATACAGTTAAACTTTTCCTTCTGGTGAAACAGCAAGAGGAATAGAATAGTTTACGTTGATCTTGGTGCTTTAAGATTTCATAAAAAAGAATGACTTGCAATTTGAGTACGTGAAATCTGACTCATAACGCGGGATTATGCGTGTATTGAATCAAATCCCCAAACAAGAATCCGTCCCTTTTTGTTCGACTTTAAACTGTTTAATGTAGTTTGAATTGCATCTCCTTAATTCTGTCAGTTTTCAAGATGAGTCTTTTGGAAACTCTTCCTCACCCAGCAGCTCAGCACGAGAAAATTGGCAAAGAATAAACTTCATTAATTTAAAGATTTGCAGTGCTTAGTCACTTTATGAAGCTGATCATTTTCTGTGGGATTTTTTTTTTCTCCCAAAGACCTGTTAAGTTTGTAGAAGGTGGGCTGGTACCTTTTTAGACATTTTTTGCACTGTATTAATAATTGAACCTGTGTAAATGTGTATAAAATCATTTTGCATGTGTATGTATATATGTACATATATCTAATAAATGGCTTTTTTGTAATGATTGTCTTCATGTATAGTTTTGAAATAGCTGAGTATATTAGAAACAAGGTAGGTTAGCCATCTCATTTTCTTCTGCATCTTTGTGTTTCATGTGGCAATGTTAAAACTGTTTTAAAAATAAGCTCAGTTCTTCTCTTTAACAAATACCTTCAAAACCAGAGTGATTTCAAATGCTGTCGTAGTGCATGCTGGATTGTATGTGGTCTCTTACAGGAAAAAATATGTTTAAAGTCAGGGTGGCTTTCTCTGAGATAATGATCTGTCCGATACCTAATCTACCTGGGTGCGCACTGGCTTTTTGTTCAGGGGGAATTAGGTATAATTTTTATTCAGTCATCTGCACACTGAAGAGTCACTGATTCATCACTTGAACTATATAAATATATTTATAAATATATAGAAACTTGCTTATTGAAGCAACAGATTGCGATAGGCTGTGATATAATCTTTGTAGCTTTAAGAGTCTTGCTCTTTACTTTCAGGGACCATGTTATAGAGGCTTCTCCTGCAAAACTTGCATTTTGAAGTGTTGAAGTATGTGAAGTAAGATGTAACATGGTCTCGCAGGTCCTTTTCCATTTGTTTGACAGTGAGTAGTGGAGATTTTGCAGATTGCTGTCAGATTTTCAGCCTGGTCTCTTAATGGAACTAGGCTTATTAGTTAATCCTACTAGTCAGTCCCTGCTAAGAGTTTATGGACTTTTTTGGGCACATTAGAGCCACCTTTGATAAAGGCTCTGAAGACATCGATTCATCAGACTTTGTAGAAATGAAAGACTCTATGTGACAGAAAATTCAGCATTCCCCCTCATCTGAATGCGATGGGTTCAGGTGTCAGTGAATGTGCTTTGGGAGAGTGATGCTTTCTTAAAGCACCCTGCTTAACCAGGAACCAAAGAATCAGGTAAAAATTAAAAAGCTGGAAGAAATCAGGCTTGTGGTACTGCTGGTTTCTTCCCATTTTTCTGCTCCTCTGCAGGAACGATACCTAGATGTCTGTAGCAGAAGCAAAACATGATGGGTAAAGGGCTGGGTTCTTCCTCTGGTTTCCACTGTGTAAAAAATGGAAATATTTTCTAATCTCTGAGGCTTATTCTTTATCAAGAAGGCAGTTGTGAGGACAGTGAAGCTGGGAGAACTGCAAAAATTCTTTACTGTTACTCTTCTGCTTTAAAGATACGTCCGTCTCTTTGCCTTGACTTGGCCTTTTAGCCTTGGAGCTTGCTGGGATGCTGCCTTGCGGAACGGAAATGTCAGCAGTAGGTGTGAGATAGTTACAGTGCTGCAGCGCTTGTTGCTGTGCTCGAAAGAGAAAGAGAAGCTGCGTATGCCCCTGTAGTGAGGAAAGAGGCAGAACAGTAGGCTGTGCAGACAGTGGGTGATAATAACCAAAAGCTGATGGCGGGGGAGGGAGAAGAGCGCCTTATTCTTCTGAACTGCTCTGCTCTTTGAAATCTAGATGTTACTTTTGTTCTGTAAATAAATGATTGCTCAAAGCATGTTTCTTCTCAAGATGCCAGTAGAGAAGAACAGCAGCCTTTACCTTTTTTTTTTTTTCTCCTAAGGTGAGGGGAGAAAGCAATTATAACTCCCCTTTTCTTTTGAAGATGCTGATAAAAGGAGGTGGGAGGATCAGAGGGTCCCTGTGCCAAAAGAGGAACAACTCCTAAGGTGATAGAAATACATGTTTTTATTTTAAACAAAGTAACTCAACTTCTGCTGTGTGCTGACTTTCAAATGTGACCTAATTGCACTGTTTTGGTGGGGGGGAAGGAAACAGTGGCTGCAAGAAAAAGAACAGCTCTGTCTTCAAATCCATTACTGGTGATGCTGGCTGGCTTGGCCACTCTTGGAGCAAGCCCAAAAACGGGCAGGCAGGACTTGGGGACAGTTGAACTATCTCTTTGCTTTTAAAAGCAATCAACCCACACGTCTTAACCTCAGCGTGAGGTGTTTCCGCTGAGGATGTGGGCTGAAGAGGTTGGAGGCTTTACTCCATGCCTCTTGGCTTTTACAGGTACCTCCTGGTTGTCTGCAAATAAATCTCTACTAAAGGTATGACCTTTTGGAGAACACTTGGGAAAGAAGCAATATCATGTCAGCAG